TGCCTACATTGAAGCAATCAATGGGAAAGTAATTCTCAGCATCTAGAGTATTACATAAATGTAACTAATTATTACTGTCCTTACATTTGGTCATTCCAGTTGGGCTAGTGGTAAAAATCTTACAGATTAGGTCATTTCATAGAAAATTAAATCGAAAACTGCAACAAGTCCTTCAGTCCCCATAGTGTAGCTCCAGTTTATAATATTCACAGATTCACCTTCTCTTAACACTTTGCTCTTCTTGACTAATTAGTATGTAAACCCTGCCCTTCCTGCATACTACATACTTTTCCATCTCAATTATTTAACATTTGCTGTTCCACCCCTTTAAATGTTCTCCTATCTCCGGCCATGGTTTAAAACTAATACTAAATTTTGCCTCCTCCCCCATTGTTTTCCTGGATCTATATAATTCTCTTTTTTATTATTAAACTTATTGGGGTGACAGTGGTCAACATGTACATAGAGGTTCCAGGTGTGGATTTCTATGTTATAAGATCTGTATATTGCACCGTGTGCCCACCACCCAAAGTCAAATCTCCTGTCACCATATAGTAAGACCCCCTTCTGTCCCCCACCCCCTTACTTCTGACAACCATCACACTGCTGTTTGTGTTCATGAGTTTTAGTTTTATATCCCATGCATAAGTGAAATAATGATTCTTAGCTTTTTCTGACTGACTTATTTCACTTAGCATAATAGTATCAAGGTCCATCCATGTTTTTGTAAATGGTGCTTTCATCCTTTCATTCCATTGTACCACATCTTTATCCACTCCTCTGTCACAGGACACTTTGGTTTGTTTGCATGTTTATGTCTTTTTTTTCTGAAGGAAATTGATGGTGAGTTTAATTGGAGACATGGTCCTGCATTTATACTTAGTAAGTATATACTTTATACTTTCTGTTTTATACTTAGTAAAGTGAGAATTTACAGTTATATACCTACAAATATAGTTCTTAGATTAATTTGTACACCATTGGGAGGTTTTTTTAAAAAATTGTAGAACTAATTACAAAAAAGAAATAATAAATTATATATTTAAGTATAGAGAAAAGATCTATCCAAAAAGTATGGTTGAAGATAATTAAGTTTGAGAAAGGGAAATTTTTCCTCTCTTCTAAATTTTGGTACATCATTGAAAAGATTGGATGATAGGAAATTATTGACTTTGTTTCTTTTGTGATTACAGCTTACAAAAATTCTATTCTCAGAATTCTGTTTCTTTGATTATTTTCAGTAATTTGACATTAATTAATTCTTTGAACTATAAAAAGGAAACCACAATATTACTACCGCTAGATAATTGTGTGTATTTTAATGAAAGAAAAATTTTAATTACCCACAGAAGAAAATATAGTGTGAATTACAATGAAAAACTGCCATTACATTTAAAAAAGAAATAAAGCAACATCAATAACATCAACAATAACAGTGAAAACAAAAAATAATTTTGGGAGAAATGAGAGATGAGGGATCAGAAAGGAAAGAGCTGGACATGTAATTTGTGTATTCTTCCCAAACTCTAAATTAGGTTTCAGGGCTGCAGAGAACTGTTTCTTTGGAAAACCATGAGTTTGTTAGGTTAGAGAATAAAACCTTTGGGAAACCATGAAGTAAATTAAGAATCATCATCGAAGACCTTATATTTTTCAATGAGTATTGGAGTTGGGTAGTGATTGGAATTACTTAAACTCAATCCAGATGTTTGGAATTGAAACCACATAAGAAATTGTTTGTAGCCATTGATGAGTATGTTGTCAGATTTATGAATAACCAGAATCCTTACCTCTAACTAACTGATCTGTGTTTAGTCCATGAAACATGATTCCATCTCAAAGAGTATCTTGGCATAATAAACACTTATGATTGATGGAGGCAAATATTTATTATTATAATAGTGTTTATAACATAAAAATTTAAAGCCAGCTCAATTTTTTTTATTACAAGACAGTGATTAAAGGAATACCACATGGCCATAAATTTCTGTATTCTTATATTTATGGCATAAAAAATCTGTTTGTGATAATTGAGAGAGATCTCCAAGTGCCTGAAATGAAATGAAAAGACCAGAGCCCTAAGTATGATAAGTGGTACTTCAGTAATGTGTCTGGTTGAATCGAGACTTGTAATGTGTGTGGGGTTGTGTTGTTAAACAATCAGGGCCATGAGAGGCAGTTTTGCCCTTGTGAGAGGCAGGTTATAGAAACTGATGTCTGTGTATAAGGCTATGACTCTCACGGTGCTTTATCATTGTAATAAACTGATATTCTGAGGTCAAGACATGACAGAGCGAAGCTAGTCTCATGAAAGACCTCATTCTCTTGTACCCTGTGCATTTTACTTGGTGTAGATTCATTTACCACAGTCATGAACCACTAACACTCTGTTGTACCTAATATTAGGTAAACGTTAGTTCCCAAACTTAGGATGTTAGGATCTAACACAAGATTAGCTTTGACCTTTTATTAGATTCTCATTCAAATTCTCATTCTGCCACTGACTAGATATGTCACATACCATATCTAAGCCTGTTCCCTCGTCTGTAATAGGGTATAATAATGGCATTTGAACTTCAAGGCAGAGACCTGGTATAGCTCTTTCTTTTTTTACTTTAATGCTTAGTATATTCAATTTTCATAATTTTTGGTAGAAGAAATTATGAATGCTTGAATGCAGGAATCAGTGAAACTCCCAAGAAATAAAAGACTAAAGTCCTATGTATAACTCTCCTTTTAAGAGCCGAAAAGGGAAATGAAAAGCAATGAAGAGATCTATGTGGATTGGGTTCAGTCCATGAAAGCGTCTCAGATGAGGTGCATTGACCCTGGACTTACGTTTCTGCCATAAGCATTCACAAATAGTGTATTCTATTACTGGTTGTAAATATTAAGAGTGTTGATTTCACTAAGAAGATATAGGATTTACACACATAGAGACTGAAAGACAATATGTTTATCTTCTTCTGTCCAGAGTTCTGCCATTCATTCTTAAGTGCCAATACATTAATACGATATGGTATCGCTCACAAAGCAGATAAATCTGGTAATACAGTAGCAGTGTGTTATTTCCACCTGAACAGTCTTTAGTCTGTAGCCCCATAGAGAATCAGATGCTTTATTTACATCCCATCAGGAGTTTAAAATGTAGACATCGTCATTACTTGAAATTACTCAGTGTGTTTGTTTATGTGGAGTGTACCTTGTTTTCTAAAATATGACTGTGAGCAGCAGACGAAATTACATAGACGAGTCAGCTATAGATGAGTAGAGAAATTTTTCTACATTTTAAAAATTGATTTCAGAGAGGAAGGTAGAGGGAGGGAGAGATAGAAACATCAGTGATAAGGGAGTATCATTGATCAGCTGCCTCCTGCACACACCACACTGGGATAGAATCTGCAATCCAGGATGTGCCCTGACTGGGAATTGAACCATTACCTCCTGGTTCATAGGTCGATGCTCAACCACTAAGCCACGCCAGTGATTCTTTCTACTTTTGAAAGTTCTTGGATAGAATTGGAAAACAATATATGCATTCACTGTACAGTATTTCAGTGCTCTTTCCTTAATAGGCTGATATTATATGGAACTTAGAAATTCAATACAGTATTGATCATTACTTCAAAGTGCACTTGTAAGAGATTTGTGATTTAAAATCAGACTTTTTTGCATCAATTACTAGGACTATGAAGAAATAAAACTAATTTTCAGGCTATTGTATGTGATTAAAATTCCAACATTAACACTATTGGCATTTGGTTGTAATGAGTTTCATCTCTACTTTCTGGCTGTCATATTAGTACTGGAATTTAATTTGAAAATAATAGTTTGGTGAAGTGGAAGCCTTAGATTGGCAAATTAGGAATTTAGTTTCCAGGACATGGCAATCTTGGTATATACTCCATGACCATTTCTATAAATGGTTGATTCTCTTTTTTGGAGGGAGCGGGTGAATCCTCACCAGAGGATATATTTTTCCATTGATTTTTAGAGAGAGTGGAAGGGAGGAAAGGGAAAGAGAGAAAGAGAAAGAATCATCAGTGTGAGAGAGACCCATTGATTGGTTTGCCTCCTGCAACCCAGGTACAAGCCCTTGACTGCGAATTGAACCTGGACCCTTTAGTCTGAGGGCTGAAGCTCTAACCACGGAGCAAACCAGCTGGGGCACGGTTTATTCTCTTGTAAGGCTACCTGTCTTGGCCCCTCTCAGATTTGTTTTGAGGACAATGATTATGCTTTGGGAAGTGTGGAATATATGCACATACATTATTTGTTTTACTATTTATAATATTCTCTGTATTAAAATCCAAAAAAGTAATGATTACCTGCAGAATAATATGCTTAAGTTAAAATTGCGTGTACCTGTTTGTTTTAATCAAAAGAGAGTATGCTAGAGGAAATATATAATTCCTTTTCATTTAAAATTTAAAAGCAAGGTATAGCTCTTCATGGCAATGTTTTACTATTGTAGGAAAAAATTCTAGAGCCAAATATATATTTGTCTTTGCTAGTAAAATATAGCAATAGGAAGAGGGAATCTTCCTTTAAAGGTTTCTGTATAAAGAATATAGAATATTTACAAACATAGCCTAAATTTCAAATTTTTCTTCAGGAAGAAACAAAACATTTTTTCTTCACAAATGAAAGACATAATAGTAAGAAACTCTCATTTAATTGATTTTAATAGTACTGAACAAAAGCAGAAAAGTTATGTTTTAAGAAATCCTATGGGCTAATGGCCATTCTGTTGTCATAAAAATCCTTTATTTAGCCCTCTCCACAAATAAGCTCACAGCAGGAGAAAGGACACCGGTTAGAGTAATTTGGGGGATACATACACAGAAGGAATGGCTAGGAGCGTAGTGTCATCTGGCAGGGAGCTTATTTCCTGAACCCTGTGGATCTGGTGAAAACCCAACAGAGATGCCAATATGCTTCTCCTCCGTAAATGCTACCAGTCTCCACACCACCAGGCCCAGCGCGGCTTGTGTGAGGTGTTTTATCCAAGCAGTCCTTTGCATAACTGCCCAGCGCCTGCAATGACCTGAGTCAGTCATGCAAAGAGACTTTCTTATGCTTACACCAACATTTTCTTTCCGTGTTCATTTTCTGCTGCTCCTAACCCACGGGTTATGACTGTTGTGATGGTGGAGGCGGCACTTTGCAATCTTTTTAGTTAAGATCTAGAGTTTGTTTGAAAGCAAGGCTGAAAAATCCACAGACGGGATTTCTCCACAAGATTGCTGTCATGGGTGCAGCTGGGATACCTGTCTCTTCAGGAGGGTGGGGAGAAGTGAGGTCTATTGATTCCGAAGAGGAAACAATCCAGGCCCGACGAGCAGGTGCTGGTAAGCAACAGACAATGAGTTTGGGGCATGAGAATCCTACTTGATTATTTTTTTCCAGTTGGACACAAATCTATATTTAACACTCCCTCTGTATCTATTTTTCCAGTGCAAATGTTCCCATTCTGTGTGTGTCAGGTGTGGAGTGATTTTGTCCCATTTTCTCAACAAAGTTCCCGGCTACCAACTTTATCTGCAGTCTTTTTCCCTGAGAGATATTATTAGATTTGCCGTATAGCCCTAATGATTATAAGATGATCGTTAGGGCTATATGATGATTATAAGATTTTATGATGTATTTTCTTGTGTAATAGCCCAGTAACAAAAGATTTAAAGATTAGAATGTTTGTGTTCTCTGAAAATAAGGAAAAACAGTAGCAAGTGGCTGGATTGTGCATGAGTTTCATTTATAGTCAATGTATGAGAGAGATATAAGTGACAAATTGGAATCATCATTAGTGGAAAATCAGTCCCAAAATAGGGAGTTTGTACCGCTTTTTCAAAATAATGGATCCTGGGTTCTTGGGAAAGAGCTGAAACCTTTTCACAAACAGGCCTTGATTTAGACCACAATACCTCAAGGTCAAATAATATACGTGAAGTAAGCTCCAAATTGCAATGGATGTTAGGTTTTACATGTTCTCTCCCAAGGGAAATCAGTCTGCTGGTCTTTGAAGTGACTGTGAAATCACGGCTGAGTGGGAGGCTGTGAAATATATAACCCCAAGGAGAGATCCATGTGACTCAAAATGGACAGAATGCTAGGAATGTTTTAAATAAGTAAATATTGTTAATATACACTTATGAATTAATAGATGAAATAGAAGGATTTATTTTTCCCCCTGCTTGATATGTGGACAGTGACCTCAGTGAATGGCACTTATTACTATGCATGGGATCTCAGAGTATTTGGGACCCAGAAATGAATGATAGGGTATGTTGAAATAAGTTTAACATTAGCTCCTTATAATATGGAATCTCTGTTTTGATTCTATAATTATGAAATGTGTATACCATTTCAGAGACATTATTTGGTTTATTAAGTGTCTTCTGTTAGAAATATAGTTTGTTACCATTTGACAAGTTGCCTCATATGCAGGCATTTTAGGGAACTCAAGATAAATATACCAAATAAACATAAATTCATGAGATGAAATTGGGGATACATTAGGTTAATAGCATAATAAATGATCTTGTAATTTGAAATAAGACCTTTTCAGGTGATAAAGGAGAAAAAGAGAAATAGGGGGGAAAAAGACATACAAAAAGGAGATATCTCCAAATCAGGCACAATATTAGCCACCCACAGCATACTAAAATGTTTTAATTCAGTTGTCACAGGCTTATAAGATCCATAGATTCTTAAATTTCAATCAAATTAAATTGCAGGGCACCCATTTGGGGAAATTGGTTGTTGAAAGTTTTGACTCTCCTTTCATCATTACTCTTCAGTACTCTTGCTGGGCCAGCAGCTCTGTCTGTAGACCATGGCATTAGTATGTCTTATGTCAGAGCCATAGTCATAAAGAAACTTAACTTCAGCAAGTATAAGACTTCAGCCCCATAAAGTGGCCTGGAGAACCCTTATTGGCTCCAAATATGCAAAGTCAGGGTAGAAGATCATAAGCCTCTTCTGCATCATTATAGTTTTGTTACACCAAGTCACTAGCACTTTAACAAAAACTGGCACAACTTTGCATAATCTACCAAAATAATGACAGTAGCTCCTACTTACCATGGTGTAGTGAAAAGCTCCTACGTGGGCTTTTAAATCAAAGTCAAGTCCAAATCCCATGTCTGCTATTTATAAACCATGTGACCTTGAGTGAGTTAATTAGCTTTTTTGAGCCCTATCTGTAACATGGGACAAGTAATACTGATTTTGTCATATGCTTGTGAGAAATAAATGAGTTAAATAAAATTAACACAGCACAATATTTGGCACATAACAGTGATTCAGTTAATGTTTATTTCCCTTTCTATATCCCTTTCTATATCTGAGTCAACAATTTGGCCAATTTTGACTCAAGATACTTTAAAGCATACTTGGGGAAAAGAAAACATAAAGATTCCAAATAGAGAGAAAAACTTGCTTTGGAGAGGGAAAATTATTCAATTTGTGGATATTTTGCATTGGATTCGGTGATGATGAGATGATCCATTTTCAGTATTTTTTCCTTACCAGATAATTATTTTTATAAGTAGATATGACTTAAGTAAACATAGAGCATTTAGTCTAAATAAATGAAAGATTGTTTTTTATTCTGGCTATTATTATTTGGTCATTTCATTTTCTAAAGCAAACTAATAGCAGTTTGCCTCTACTGTTTAATAACATTCCCCAGTGGATTAGAGAAGTATATCATTGTTCATTGTTGTTTCTGGAAACAAGATTATATAAAGATGAAATTGGGGGAATGATATAATTTAAAAATCAACTGATTTTGTTGTTATTGCTGTTGTTCTGTGTAATTCATGATCTGGAGTAAATAAAGTAAATGTAGTGACTTAATGAGAGGGTAATGATTCTATATTGCAGTGAAAAAATTGTTAGACTATGAATTGTGACTCTACAATCATCAAAAGACCTGCATCTTTAAAAATATTGGAAATATGACACCCCCCCCCCCAACTCCCTAGCCAAACCTATTTGAGTTTGTCCTTTGGCCCTCTGGCGATGAGCTACTAATAGCAGGAGGCTGGCCATCCCGGAAGAGCCTGAACAAGCACTTTCATCCTTGTTCCCAACAGTCACTCCTCTACTCTTAGTCGAAGCTTCCTGGTGCAGTTGTTGTCATTGGGCTAAGATCTCTCAGATAGGGAAGCTGCAGAGGAAATGATCTCTTACACGGGGCTTGACAGCATCATTGCCAGTGATTGATAATGGGACCAAATCATTTCAGGTAAGTTTTCTGTGGTCCACAAGCCAGCAGGGGTCTGCTTGACTTTGTCATCTTAGCCCACGGGTATCTCAGTGCATTGTCACTGGGGAGGAAATAAGAGGAGCTCTTCAAGCCTCTGCCTGAGTCTTTTCTCCTGTGCTAGCTTTAAGGTACTCCAGCATTTTGTGTGTCTCTGCCTATAGGAAGGTGCCTTGTGTCAGGAAATGGTTAATTATGGACCCGCCAGAGCTTTGGTGTTTGCTACAGTGGGAACCTCTTAGGACAGCACAGAGCATATAGATTAGTGCGGTAATCAATGAGCATCTGTACACTGCAGAGATCCGTTTTGATGACAGCAGCACTTACGGCCTTGTTTAGTGTCACTGTTGTATAATGTTGGATACTGCAGGCTTTTTTTGTTTGTTTGTTTTGATTTAGAATGCAAGGACTACAGGATTTTTATTTTTGTTTTTAAAATTACTTTGCGTTTTGGTGGATTTCTAAGAGTGATGTGGATTTGCTGCCATTGCTAGCTAGAATTTAGTGATTTGATGCCAGTAGCATTTATTTAACCACTCTGATGCTGCTGTTACGTTTGCTGGTTTCTGCAGTTCCTACTACTTCATACGTTGCTCCCAGGAACAGGTAAACTAAGCCATAATATTAACCTTATGCATAAATGTAAAATTAATGCAATATATTGTTTAGTTATCCAAAGAGTAAGATATTAAAATGCTTCAGTGGATTCTATCAGTAGAGAATGAGAACTATTTTACTTTGAACATGGAAATTACACAAATATAATATCATTTTAGAATACATGGTGATCTTCTAGTTGCATTACATGAAGTTATTGTTATGTTTCATGTCTTAAATGAATATCTGGAGCGTGCATTCATCTATAACTTAGTATTTAACCCTTACTTTGATGTATGTATATTACACAGTTAATTCAGAAATACATATTTTCCTTTTGTGATTGATCAAAGAAAGTTGTTTTCCCTGTTTAGTGATGTCATTAATATTAGAAGCTTCCTAGCTTAGTCTTTTAAAAAATATAAAGATATCAGTCTATATGTAGATTGTTGTTTTGAAGTATTTAAACAAAAGCTTCAAGGCCTTGTTTCTCCTAGTTGACAGTTATTTCAGAGCATGTCCTGGGAATTCCTGTGTTTTTGTGTGATGCTAAGCTTTGGACTAAAAGGAAAACTGTTCAGATAAGGGGAATACAGAGCCCAGACATAAAGAAGGAAAGGGAAACAGAGTCTTTTGGGTCAGAGTTGGGTGTGTGACCTTGGGCAACAGAGGAACTAACCCCTTCTGGCCCTTGTTTCCATTCTGCCAGTTTGGAAAAAAACTCTAATGTTATTCTCTGTGGGAATGGCATGGCATTTTTCAGATGCTCAAGATCATCTGACGGTCATTTCTGTGTAGCAAAAAGACAGTATTATTCAGTTTGTAAAGGTATGCAGTTTTATTAATAAAAGAGAGACATAGAAATCTTTTAGTTTTTTTTTTCTTCCTTTGCAGTGTTTTAGCAACTGAGGCTTTTTTTTGGAAAGGAGATTATGGCTCTTTTAAATTAAACCAGCAAATCTCTTGGCTCTGCTGTAACTATTTTGCCAAGTAGGCATTGAGCAAGTTTGAGGTGTCTTGAGGGCACCTGCTGTCAGACTCCTTGGGAGGCGAAGGAGGCATCATGTGTTTTGCTGCAGCCAGATAAGGTCCTGGATGCAGAGCTGCTGGGCCCTCTGAAAGCCTGCCAGGGATGTGAGCACCCTCGCTGCCTCCTCGCTTCCTCTCAGGTACAGCGCGTGCTGCTGAGGGCATCTGGAGGAAGCTCCTGGCTGCTCTTCTCAGCAAATGACTTTCAAGAGGTCCACTCTCTGCTAAGGGCAAGCTTAAAATCCAAAAGATCAGAGGCAACTAGAAGAAACGCAGTCAACAACCTCTCACTCTAAAAAGTCTGAATCAGATTGCTCCTGGACTTTTTAAAATTTTTTTAATTAAATCTTTATTGTTGACAGTATTGCATATGCTTCCTTCTCCCCACATTGACCCCTTCTAACCCATCCCCACACCCCCTCCCTGCCCCAGGCCTTCACCACCCTATTGTCTGTA